CTCTCCTCCCTCCATCGTGAGAGAGAGAGGCACCAGAGGCACAATCACCATCACTCCTCCCTCGGCCCATCCTCCATCCCTGCCTGGCCCTTCTCTCCTCCCTCCCTCGGCCCGTCCTCCATTCCTACCTCGACCCTCGCTCCTCCCTCCCTCACCCCTGCCCCATCGGCCCTCACTCCTTCCTCCCTTTGTCCTTCCTTCTTTCCTCCCTTGCCTTCTCCCTCCGGTGGTGTTACCTTCCTCGGCCGTCCGTCCTCCCTCACTTTGTGCCCCCTTATCTGGGGACAATATAGAGAGTGCATTCCGTTTTTCTTGGCTTTCTCAATTTGCGCACCACTTCTTTTTCAATGTGAACAAGGGTGAGCGTGTGCCCTTGCGCGTGCGGTCGCACACAGATGCACACAGCGAGGGGTGTGGATGTGGGGAGAGAGAGAGAGCGAGCGAGCGAGCGAGAGAGAGAGAGAGAGAGAGATGTCTATTCTGCGACTTTGACACGTGCTACTTCGTTTCTTCTTTGCCTGTTGCCTTCCAGGAAATGTTCTGGGATGCATGCCCGGCATTATGGCTCTCATGTCAATGCTACTCCCGAGAAGTCCCCCACCCGAAGAGCAACTGCCAAACAGATTGAATGCTGATTGTTTCATTCTTACAATGCAAAACCTGCTTAACATCAGTGGCACCGTTATAGATGGAGGCGTCTTCCAACAACTTCGCTGGGCCAATCGTCAATGACATCATCTGAGCTCACCAAACTGAGACTCAACCACACGCGCTTGCACTTGCGCACACAGAGTCCAAACTCGACAAGTAAGCACGGGGCATACATGCAAGATTGCTTGATCACAAACATATCCAGAGAAGACAGCAAACGAAGTCTGATTCTGAGTCTTTACCAAAAACATCAACGGGAGAACAGACTGGATTTTCTGAGAAAAGTACAGAGTTCTTGCACGGCACAAAACAAAAACGATGCTGCAAAGGTAATGGCTCCCAAAACAAAGCACTCACAGATAAAGACAAAAGAATGTTTGGTGGTATTCCCTGCTATTTTCTTGCAGGCGGGTTTTCTTCTGCTCTCAGGCTCTTCTTTTTCTTATTGTGAAAGAAGCGGCATATGATAGGGCAGTTACTTATTCGGTTTCTTTCTTTTGTGCTTTTTTCTTTTTCTGTTTTTGCTGGCGAAGATGCGACGGGTCATCTAGTGCAGGTAGTGAACAGGTCGCAAGCATGTGCCATTTTGATGTACCATTTTGACGCAGCAAGGTTCTAGGGCAAAATGTCATATTTACCGTTTTCTGATGTGCGCCTTTCCCTCCTTTTTGTTGTTTTGCAGGGCGATGACAGCAGTGGAGGGTTCGTACGGATGAGTAAGCGGGTGTCTGCACAGCTGCGGAATCCTTTTGCGGGGTTTGGCCGCAAGGATGGCATCGTTGTGCGCCAAGGGAACTGGAACATATTTGCTGAGAGTTGAGCTGTGCAGGGAAGCCTGTCGAAATTCGACTAGCGCTTGCGCCCTCCCAAACAAAGTGGTTTCCACTCTGTAATCAGTGTATATAGACTCGGTTCTGTTCGTGGAGATGGGGAAAAAAATTATAACTTCATGTTGATTGATAAGTTATTTGCCTGAGAAATCATCAATGGCCAAGGACATGAACGCGTGGATGCAGACCATCATGATTGTACCAGTATGGTGAAGTTGTCGACTCGAGATTAATCACTTTGCTGGTGAGACTCGTCAACGGCGACGATATTGTGAATACAGTTGACCGGGATGGATGATCGGGCTTGGGGTTTGAGAAGTGAATGTATTACAATCGTGGGAGTTGTTTTCGATCTGGATGTTGGCCGTAAGGATCTGATTCCGCTGGTTGCTGCAAAGAATTGATTCGAGATCAACCACTTGCCTGGTGGGATGAAGATATTCGATTGTTGATATGTGGATCCTGACTGTTGTTGCAGTACAAGGATGGCCATGGGTACTTTGACTGCCAATGTCTTTACTTCAGTTTCTGTTTGGCGAACTTGTCGGTGTCCATGAACATGGGATGGGTGAGTGGTATGTAAGGATGGTGCCAACCAGAACACGAAGAGGAGAAGGGTGGTGCCAATGCGCTGCCTGGTTGTCTTCAGGTAATGCCAATTATTTGGGTTTTGAGTCTTCGTCTGGATGAGGTAAGTAAGGATGGTGCCAATGTCATGGACAGGTGGTGACATGGGACCATGAGGAAACAGGAATGGGCATCGTGATGGCGTTCACGGAACAATAGCGAGAGGTTGCGGCAGAGGGAGAGAGACGAATAGAACTAGTACGGCAGCGTGGGATGTTCTCTCGACTATCTGAATAGAACTAGTACTGCAGCGTGGGATGTTCTCTCGACTATCTGTCAGTCTGCTACTGGAGTGGTGGCGATTTCCCAGGTGACCGACCACTGTACATTATAGAGTGTTGGTTGCTTTCTCTCACCCCCCCCCCCCCCCCCC